CCCCGGGTCTTGTCATCCCACCTTATTTCCTATGCCCAGGTTGCTAACTCTCTTTCTTATACCCTATCTTACATTTTGAGATTGTCAAATGCTAGTGAACAGGGCTGAGTCTGACAAACCAGATTCTACAATCAATGTGGCATGGCTCCCTATGTGTTATTGGGATGTCAATAGACTTGGAAGCACCCAGACCTCGTGATATACACGTAAAGACTGGAAGAATGAGAGATGACACCAATCAGAATAAGAATCCAGGAGAAAGAGTACAAAAGTCACTTCCAGGTAGAGCACTTGATGGCTTCATGACTCCAGATGAAATAAACAGGTGTAATGAGTAAGAGTTGCATGAAAGCAGGTTTAAACTCAGTACAAGGACCAGCTCAAATCATTAGAGCTGCCTAATGAGGCAGAGATATTTCCTTGATTGGAGCTATTTATGCAGAAGATGAAGAGCCATTTAGTCATTAAATAAACGTTTATTGGAAGCCTACTATAGTCTACCAGGTGCCTACTAGAAGTCTAGAGATGAATGGTGCAAGAGAACAGAATACAGATGGGGGAAGAGAACTGCCATTCAGTGTAGCACAAGCACTATTTATGGAAGTGATTTTTGTAGTATGTGGTTGGTGTACTAAATCTAGGACACTATGACTTTATAATTTACCTGTCCTGGGTCTTATCCTTTTCTGTAAAATGAAGAAAACTAAATTCATTTATTCAAACATGTATTAAGAACCTACTACAGGCCAGACACTCTGCTAGGCCCAGGAGCTACAGAAATAAATGAGGCAGGGACCCTGTCCTCCATGACCATGCAGTGTAGTGAGGGTCAGAGACAACAATGCAAGAAATGGTGTGCTAGATATCAACACAGTGTGATGGGACACAGAGGACAGAGCCACTGAGCCTCCTGGGGAAGTGAGGGAGGTGTCTCGGGGGAGGTGACAGCAAACTACATACTAAGGGAAGAGACAGTGTTTTCCAGGGAAAAGTAAAGAGAAGGGTATTCAAAGCAGTGGGAGCAACAAAAGTCATGAACTTGTGACAAGACCTGGCATGGTGGGGGACGGGGGAAACATAGAGTCGATGGCAGGTAATGGTGACCAATGAGGCTGGATGGGGGCCAGATGGTGAAGCACCGGTTATGATCTTGGAAACAAGCTTTAGGACGTTCTGTGGTTCCATAATCACTTTATAAAGGTTTTGAGATAATAATAGATGATGACAATGGCCGTTTCTCATCTCTTCCCTCTGTGGAAGTCTACCTGGACCTAAAGATTCAAGAAAATGACAGAAAGAAAGATGCCCAAACCACCTCTTTACCGGATTCTTTCCTCTCTCCTCTTCTTGGAAAGATCCTCCTGCCTTTGAAGGGATTTCTGCCGTTCCGTCTCCATCATCTGATCCAACCGCTTCTCCTCTGCATCCAGTTCTTTTTGAATCAGCTTTTTCTCCAGGATCTGGGCATCCCGGATGGCATGGCACTTGGCATTAAGGATGATCTGCGGAGTAGAAGTGAGATTGTGGTACTAGGTCGGGGGGTAAGGTTAGGAAGGGATGCACCATGGGGGTGTGGAAGTTGGAGGGAAGAGAAATGGGAGTGGAATGTTACCACATGTGCTAGAAATGCACATGGCTGCTCACAAGCCCAGAAAAGCAAGAACATTCTTATATTTGACCTTCTCTTTAATATTATTCAAACATAATACCCACTGGGTTCCTGGTAAATGCTTCTTTCAGGAAACTGACTCTTAATGTTGGGGGCCATGGGTCACACTTTTGTGAAAGCTATGGGGCCCCCGGGTAGACACACAAAATCTCCATGAAACTTCAGCTACATGGTCCCCCTTAGGGACCCATGAACCGCAGTTAAGACCCTCGCTCTACTCCTCGGGGAAACTAAAACACTCATGCAGAGTCCAAGTCACCCAATTGTTAAGCTGGAAGAGCCCAACGTGATACAGAAGGGGATTTAAACCCAGGACCATCAATAAGAACCATAACGTAAAAGCTTTGGAAAATAAAAGGAGGCATAGGTAGAGAGACAGGGTGTAGATGAAGGGGTTGGGGGGTCAGCATTGTTCATTTGGTTGGGAAGAGTGAACCACATGCCAATGAGGAATTCAAATGAGCCTCTGGTCTTCATGCTCTCAGATAAAGCGCTTCAAAAAGAACTCAATTGCCTGGACCACCCTCTGTGGCCAGAATTGCACTAGCAGGATAAAAATAAAAGCAAACTCCTCCCCTGTATTTATCAATCCGCAGTATGCAAAGCCTGTCCCATATATTAGTTCATTTAATCCTTCCAATAGTTCTGCCCAGTAGTTTTACTAGCCTCACTTTACAAAAGAAGCAAGCAAGGTTCAGGAGGGGCAAGAGACGTGCTGAAGGTCACACCACTAGCTCAAGGCGAAGCCAGAGCTCTCTTCGATCACAGCAACCACGTGACAGATACGGCTCTCCCCCACCTTCCTTCCCCAACCCCCCAGCAACCCCTCACCTCGCCCCCTCCTTGCCCCACCTCCAGCTGAAGCCAATGCTGTCCAGTGTGTGGATAAGAGGAGGGGGAAATGCAGAGCCCCGACCTTGCTCATGTCCCTGAGCTCCTCCTCCTGCTCTATCCGCAGCTTGTTGGCTCTCTGCAGAAGGTTCTGGGCCCTCTCCTTGGCCTCCTCCTCTAGGTCATAGAGCTTCTTGTTCTTCATCCAAATCATTTCCTTCTGTTTCATGACCTTCTTGCGTGTGGTGACTGCATCCTACAGAAGACCGTCTGCATCAGTGTGGGATGGTTCCCTGCGCTGTGTCCTGGGCACTAGACTGGCTACCACAAGTGACCCCAATATTATGCTCGCTCCACCCCACCATGCTATCAGAACCCAGAAGTTTCTCAGCCTGGTTTTATCCTCACCCCTCCCCATCTCCACCCCCACCGCCCCCTACCCGCATTGTTCCCACAACTGATCTTCATTCGATAGCATATCTCCATCCATGCCTTGTTCCAGGGTCCCCTAACTAGAGGCCCCCCACCCTGTCTCAAGGGAAGCTGGCCCCTCCCCAGGACATTTCTCTTCTGCCCCCCCCATCCGTAGGGATCAGGGCTTGAGGGGTTAGCTACCAAGGCGGCTTCCTTCTCCTTCTTGAGGGCCTGCACCCTGGCCTCGAGTTCTTCTTTGGTCAGCACTTGGGATGCCCATTTAATCCGCTCAAACTCTTCGGGACTCATGATAAGGGACTCCCCGGAGGGATCCTCTGTGGGAACGCTGACACAAGGAACGAGCAAAGTTAGGGAGGGCAGGCTCTCGGCACTATGCTGCAGGCTTCTCTGCTCCCTTCCTCCCTCATCACTGCCGTCCCTCCCTCCGGCACACACATGGCCAGCGGGAGGACAGACTGCCGATTGCACTACGGATCCCCTGGGGAAAAACATCCCAGGAGACGGTGACGTAGCATCCTAGGCTATTAAGGACATTTTAAGAACTTTTTCTAAAAGGCCCAGCTTATGTGTTGCCATCTCTGTGTAGCCATTCATGGCCTTCCCCGCAATGTACACATATGCAGACCACCCCCCTCCCCACCAACAGACCACCTGCTGCTCCGAGCCCACCATGATCTGCTCTCACTGCCCTGTCGCAGCCGCGGGGCAGGGCCTGTTTCCTTGCTGGATTACAAACGCCATCAAGGACACAGTCTGTGTCTTAACCACATCGGCAGCCTAGTCGCCAGCCCAGCGTTGGGAACAGAGTGAGAACTCAAAACAAAGCTGCTGAATTCGACTTTAAAAATAGATTATTCCTCAAGGATGACATAAAAAGGGCAAGGGGACGCCAGACAGTTTGAAATGAATACCAGTGAGAAAGCTAAACACCCTGTCCATTCAGCCCAGAGAGAAGCTTTGAACCCTAAATATTAATTAAAATGTCTGATCAACACAGTTGGAGACAGGTCTATAGACCTCTCCTTTCCAGCCACCCAACCATTCAACAAACCAATAGGTAATTATAATGGTTACAAACAAATGACATACATTAAAGGTGGGGGTGGGGGAGGGAGGGGGTGGGAATAAAGCCGCTTCTGGGTGAGGCCCTTTAACAGGCACCAGGCAAGGAGATGTACGGCTGGGGCAGGAAGTGAAACCTCACCTAATAAAACTAATGTGGGGGGAGGCCCAGGAGGTGGAGCAAATGAGTGAGTGGATTCGGGGCTCAGCCAAGATCTCCTGGCTCACTGAGTGGCGGGCCAGACACAGCCCGGAATCTGAAATGACCAGGAATAATCGGAATCCGAGGCGGCATCTCCTGGGCTTTCAGCAGCCCTGACCGGGAGCCGGCACCTTCATCTCCGATGTGTTTTCAGAACTAGACCCCTCCAAAAAAAGGCCATTTGTGGCGGAGTCACTGGGCTGCTGACCACGTCTGGCCGTGTGATGCCAGGGCTGACCAGACATTGCTCCTGGAACTGTGTCCCAGCTTGTGACACAGGCAGCATTTTCTAGAAATGTAAGCTTTTAGCCGATGGGGCCAGAGCAGAAAGAATGGTTTCAGAGAATCGCCGAGCAACACACTGGCTCGTGTCACAATCCTGAGTGAGGCCTAAGCCCCGCAGGAGGGGCCAGGCACGGGGGCAGCTCCGGTCGGGAAGCTGTGCTGACCTAATCCCAAAAGAACCCAAGAGCCTGTGGGAATTTCCTCTTTTGGCCTCCGAGCCTGGGAAGATGCCAAGGGCCTAATTAGGCATCTGGTCAGTTTCCTTTGCTTCGGATTCCTGATGCGCCAAAAGGAAGTGATTCATCTGGACCATTCCCTCTACCAAGTGCCCTCATGGGGGCTCAGCGAGGACCCACTAAGCCCCTCCCCGCTACCAGCCGCTTCGTTCCACAGCAGGGAGAAGAGAGGGCAGAGAAAGAAGCTGGGAATCAAGGGTAAAGGGAATAACAGATACAAGAGGGGGAAGCTAAGAGGTCAAGACGAAGAAGAAAGAAGGAGAACCATAAAACCCACAGGAGCAATGACCACGAATGAAGTGGAGACTTGACCATGAAACCAGGTGGGTTCCCCATTTCCCGGCGCAGGTCCTCAGCCCCGGTGCAGCTGGGACGAGGCGGCAGGGCCTGGGCCCTGGATACTCACATGAGTTCTCGGACCAGGTCCCGGGTGATGAGCTGGATGGTCTTTGGCTTGTGCTCCAAGGCCAGAGCAGAGAAAGTTTTCTCAATGGCATGCTTATCTCGGAGCAGCACGATGGGGCTGTCGCTCTGGGCCACGGGCTATGGGTTCAGAAGGACAGCTTAGAAGCTAGTCACCTCACTTCCTGCTGGTCAGTCCTAAACTTCAAGTGTGGCCCTCCCCTCTCCTGGGGCTTCCACCCTATCCAGTGGCAGGGGAGGCTGGCTGGGGCCCAGGCTGCAGGCCCACGAGAGCAGCCAGGGCGCTGAGGAAGTAGGTGGCGCTCTGCACTTGAACATGGCCAGAGAACAAGGCCTCTATAACTTGTGCAGATACTCCTGGACAGATAGGAAGTGGGGGTTGCTAGGGTGTGTCCATACCTAACCTAAAACCATCAGGAATAAAAACTCCAAATTCTCATCTTTCCATGGTTTATAAAAGAAGTAATCCTCTCGCTGTGGACCCAAAGCAATACAATTTGTTACAGACTCATTCAATCTATGATATTCATATTTTTAAATCCTTTCTAATGATTAGTTTGCTTTGATCCCCAAAGAAAGCTATATGGGGGGCGGGGGTGGGGGGGTGGGGAGAGAAGTTAGAAATGGCTAATGGCCTGGTAGAGACCTGCCCTTAAATCTAACGTGAGAAAGTCAGAGAGTTAGAATTCAGCAAGAATACAAATTAGATATATATTTTTTTCAAAATTTTCTTGACCGTGAAGGAGTTAATAAGAAAATGAAATCGCTTATTTCAGGAAATGTTTGAACACCGGAGAACTTGTCATTCATCATTAACGCAGTGACTGTGGTCCTGAGTGGAGGCAGGGGGACCCCTCCGTGGAGGTCCTTCCTGGCCCGAGGATCTCACAGGGCACAGAGGTCCCTCCCGACTAGTGCTGCCACCTGGTGCCCATCTCTGCTTCCGAGTGGGCATGTCAGTCATGCCACAGGCCCCTTCTGCCCCCTGCTGCTGGTTGAGAGACTTCCTAGACTCTCACCCAGCAAGAGGGCCAAAGAAGCAGTGCCAGGAACAGGCGTGTTTCTGGCTGCCCCTTCTGCTGGGCAGCAGCACTACTCAGCGAACTCAGCCATTTCTAAATCTGTCTTTGCTTCGACTGGAAGAGTCCCCATGCTCCCAAAACAAACAAACAAAAAACAAGTAAATAAAATTGCATTCCTTGATTCTCTCCAGGGAAACTGCTACAGAATGGGGGTTCTCTAAATGCAGAAAGATGCCTGTCCTGATCCGTCTGAAAAGTCCCTTCACGGTGAAGCTGGTGAGAAGCAAGGATAGATGTCACCTCTCCTCTCCCCAGCCCTCCCGCTGCCAGAGGTAGTCACACCAGTATGCAGTCTTCTGCCCCTCTTTTCTCTTTCTCTCACTGCCCTTCTCGCCATGCCTCGTTCTCTTTCTAGACTTGCCTCTCTTCCTTCTCGCCTACTGAACTCCGTGTGCACCAAATTATTCCAAGGAACATCCAGCTCTCCTTAGACTGAAGGAGTTGTCAACCTCTTAGCCAGGACAACATTTGCCAATAAAGACCTGCCTGTGTCCCAAAGCTGAGAAATTGGTTTCGTTGAGCACCTGCGAAAGGAGGAGGACTTTGTGTTTTGTTCTGGTGCTGGTCTTGGATGGAGGGGGGAATGTGTCGCTCTGTGTCTTAGTCCAGTGGCCCTGCCATGTTTTCCTCAAGGATGTTCACTGAGCAACTACCCAGCTTTCTGCAGCTGAGCGTCCCCTCCAGGATTACAACAGATGTTCAATGCTGTGCAGACATGAGGACGGGATGGGTGGGGGAAGCCAGGTGTCCTGTTTATGTGGGCCCCACTACATGTCAGAGCTCCCCTGCTGGCTCTCAGAACACCCCTCTGTCTTCCTCTGAGAGGTACGAGGGAGAGGGATGACATGCACGGTGCTAGCTTTGTCCTGAGTAACACGAGTCCAGGTTACCGCCTGCACATGGCAGCTACCTGGAGGGGCTGGGTTAGGGTTACCTTGTTGCCTCCGAAGAGGCTCTCGTCTACCTCGCAGCTCACAGCTTTGGTCCGATAACGAGACCGATTCCTTGACCTGTTGGAAGTGGTGGAAGAGGAGCTCGTGACGCCAGTTGTGCTTAACGGCTGCAGGGAGAGGCAAAAGGTTTCAGCCATCAGTACCGAGTACCATCTGGACCAGCCGTGGGCAAACTACAGCCCGCGGGCCGGATCCAGCCCGTTTGAAATGAATAAAACTAAAAAAGAAAAAGACCGTACCCTTTTATGTAATGATGTTTACTTTGAATTTATATTAGTTCACACAAACACTCCATCCATGCTTTTGTTCCGGCCCTCCGGTCCAGTTTAAGAACCCATTGTGGCCCTCGAGTCAAAAAGTTTGCCCACCCCTACTCTGGACCCTTAGCAAGGTAAGCGCTTCGTCAGCCCCCGCCAAGGTAGGTAGAGGTGCATGTGGAAAAGCCACAGGGGGCAAGTACCTGGATAGAGCCTGAAATGTTGGGGACACCCCCAAAGAAGAGAGGGTTCTCTGAGTAGAGACCAAGCTCAATGAGAAGGGCATTTCTGCATTCCCTGAGCTGAAGGCCAAGTCGTCATGCCGCATGGAAGAAAGAGGGGAGGAAAGGAGGGTGGCAGGAGGGTGACCTCATTGTTGTCCCAGTCCCCATTTCCCACAGGGACACTCTCTGGTGAGGCCCCTTTGGCTTGTCTCCCCAGAAATGTATAGTGTCCGCTTCACCTCCAATAGTCTCGGCATGAGCTCCAAGCTCCCTACTCTACTACCTGAACTCTCCAAATCGCCACAATCTCCCAGTGGGGACCAGAGGGCATCAAGGATAGAAAACCACCTTGCCCGCCACTTGGCACACGGTTGGTGCCTAATAAACTTCAGTCGATGAGTGATGCTACCCTCAGACAAACCCATGCATAACGTCCACCACCTGGCGTTCACTCCCAGGACCCCTTCCATGTGCGTTCGTCCATGTTAACCACCCAGTGTCTTCCTATGTTTGGGAAGTTCCCATCAACAAGGCGTGGGAGACAAGGCTCATCTCTGACTAGCAAAGCTGAAGACACCAGATATTTGCCCTCCGAGCCTGGGCAAAGCCCATCTGATCACCACAGCCTGGCAAGGGTTAGGAACTAGTGATGTAAAAAGGAGAACAAGGAAAACATTTGTGGCAAAAGAGGAAGTTGCAGCCATACCCAGTGTCTGGGGCAATGCTGATGAGGACACCGGCAGCAGCACCCCGCAGCCAGAGCTGCCAGCATCAGGGTACAACACAGCATCAGGGTCCCCGCCAGACCAGCGCTGGGTTGTGATTTTGGCCTCTGTTCTGGCTGCAACTTCTCCTTTTCTTCCCATTTTCCAAGCCTGGTTTCCCAGCCTTGGTGTAAAGTCCATGCGCTTCCCAAAATCCTTAAATTAGAGCTTTGGCTCTGCTGCTTCTAACCAGGAGCCCTGACTAATACCAACTCATTCCCAGAGCTCATCCAGCTTCAGCTCAGGCCCCAGAAAACTCTCTCCAAAAAGGTGGCTTCTGTGAGGACGGAGGGACCACTCCAGGCTTAACCCACAGCTGATTCAAGTCTCACTTTGGAGGAGCCCACATCTCCCCCAGGTCTCTAAGCTGGGATGTCTCCGGGGAAGGGGCTACACACACTGGGTCTCCCAAGCCTGGGACTCAGCAGCTGTCAAGGGGGCAGGGTGGACAGGGAAACGGACTGTGCATTTCAGGGCTCCAAACCCTGGACAGTGTGTTTTGAAAGCTCTCTCTCACCCGCCATCACCAACCAGACACCCCAGCACTACTCTGCCCGTATCAGGTTTCCACACTATGTGGGCCATGACTCTCCAGCCGGCTCTGTTCCGTGCGAGCAGCACTGCTGTATGTCCTGCCCGTCACTGCCCGGCCCTGCTAGCAACAGGCTTTCGGAGGGACCCGTCCTGGGAAGACTCAGTCAGCCCCCCTAGAGCAGAGCAGAAAAGCTGGGTTTATTGAAAGGCAAATACCGCAGCCTGAGGAGGCTCATAACAGACTCAAGGTGAGTCGAGAGCAACTGCCCCCCTTTCCACCGAAAACAGAGTCAGAGGAAATGAACAGACACTGCAATAGGTGGGATTGAGGCTAAGCAATGGGAATAACTGGAAAAGGTGGAGGAGACTGGATCGTGAGGAATGGTGTGAGTTCTGTACATAATCAAGGAAGAGGATGTGGTCCTGACACACAGTAGGAGCTCAATATGCATTTGATGGAGAATGAATGGATGAAACCAAGAAAGATGGCCTCTCCAGGGCTGAGGCCAGATGGAGATGGAAGCCTTTCTGGAATAGGCCCGCCTGACTCCAGGTCACTCCGCCACTCCACACTTTCCACATCGCCTATGGCCTGCACTGTGGAAAGGAAGGTCTGTGAAAAGGTTAGAGGTCAGATGGGAAGTATCATTATTGTTTTGTGTTTGTTTTCCTGTTGTTGGTTTGTTTGTTTGTATTTTCAAGAATTCCTGCCCTGGACGGTTTGGCTCAGTGGTTACAGTGTTGACCTGCGAACTGAAGGTATGTGCCCTTGATCGATTCCCGATCGAGGGCACGTACCTCTGTTGCAGGTTCAATTCCCAGGCCTGGTCAGGGCGCAAGTGGCAGGCAACCAATTGATATGTCTCTAACACATTGATATTCCCTGTTTCTCTCTCTCTCTCTCTCTCTCTCTCTCTCTCTCTCTCTCTCTCTCCCCCTGCCCCCCACTCCTCCGCCCCTTCCACTCTCTCAAAAAATCAGTGGGAAAAATATCCTCACTCCTTGGGTAAGGATTTTAAAAAGAAAGAACTCCTGCAGGTTCTCCCTTGTGCTCGGATGGGTCCTCGGGACTGATGCTCCATCTCCTCTCTCCTACACCCTTGGTACCCAGGTCATGAGGAAGTCACACAAGAGATACTCGACTGCCTGAGCCTAGAAGTCAAAACAGAAGGAAGAAAACAAATGACCACAGAGAAGTGGCCGCTGAGCAGAGCCGAGGGAAGCGCTGGGCTCCAGGGCTGGGTGGCTGAGAAAACCTCACTTGGGAAATGCTGACTGTGAAGCCACAGCCACACATTAGGGTCAGAATCACCAGTTTTGCCAAGAGTAGCAAGAAGGACTGGAGAGGTCACTGTGTAAAAATGCTAGAAAAAAAGAAGAACCAAGCAGAAATGGAAAGTTAGACCCCTCTGGGCCAGAGGCAGGAGCCAGAAGGTGCTTTCAGGTGGGGAAGGGCTGGTTTGATTTCTCTCATGGCCAAGTAAACACCCCCACGAAGCTGAGCAGTGCCTGTCCAGGCCCTGGGGGAGGCAGGTCTTGAAGAAAAGGAAGAGAGACCGATAAAAACTGGTAGTAATAGCTGAGGAGGCAATGGGGGTTGGGGAAGATGAGGACTGGGGACAGATAAAGATGCCAGACCTGCTTTAAAATGTTCATCTTGGTGACTTAGTTCTCATCCAGCAGCTCAAAAAGTGGGCCACTGCTTGGAACTCCGGGAGAGAGACTGATGCGTAATATTAGTCAGTCAATTGCATGGTGATTTTGACTTAGTCATTAGTATAGGATGATCTACACAACCTACTGTTTTAAAGAAAGCAAATTATAAAAAACATGCATGTAACCCTATAAAAATATTTGTATGAGGGTATGCACCCAGAATGTGTTACTGAAAGAATGTTCACGAGAAAGGTTTAATTTCAGGTGCGCATTATCATCTTAAGATGTTTCTTGTATTGAATAATTTTCTGCAGTGAATAGATAACTCTTTTTATGATCAGGGAAAAAAAACTATTTTTATTTAAAAACAGAAACACAGCAATGGGCCTGATGCCCCAACTCTGAACACAGGTGAGTCTAGCCCTTTAAAAACTACAGCATTTTATGTCCCGGGATGTTCCACTCAATTCCAGCAACGCAGAGCTGGGACGGGGCTGAAACAGGTCAGCATGGAGCTTGCCCGACAGAACTATAACGCCTGTCAGCAGAACAAAGATGAAGTCATGTTCTTTCCTGTCCTCTCCACCCAGGATCTGGTTCCTCTTTTGCATTAGGTTCACTGCAGGTTAGCAAATTCAGGCTTCAAGCTCTGGGCCTGATTCTACTTATTTTTTCTATAGGCTTTGGTTACTGAGAAGAAGGGGATGCCCAGGCAGCAGGCACCTTGCCTTTTACTAAGTGATTCACTCAGCTCATCTCTTTCCTCAAATGGAACCAGATTGGTCACCTGTGAGATGACATCTGAAGGTGACATTCTAGTCCAGTGATGGTGAACCTATGACACGCGTGTCAGAGGTGACACACGAACTCATTTTTTTGCTTGATTTTTCTTTGTTAAATGGCATTTAAATATATAAAATAAATATCAAAAATATAAGTCTTTGTTTTACTATGGTTGCAAATATCAAAACATTTCTATATGTGACACGGCACCAGAGTTAAGTTAGGGTTTTTCAAAATGCTGACACGCCGAGCTCAAAAGGTTCGCCATCACTGTCCTAGTCCCTCCTCCTACAGGATGTTGTTTTCCTTGTTTTTGTAAAATCCTGAAGATATGCCCAATAGTGAGCCTCACCCCACCACCACTACCTTTCCCCATCCCCCCAAACACCCTCAAAACCACTGGGAAGCAGCATACACACACACACACACACATTTACATACATACACACGCACCCTCGCTCACACACACCTGGCCTACCAGAAGAGCAGAGGTCCCTACCTTGGGCCACTGCTTCTCAAAGGTGCCTTTGTGCCCAGTCCTGTCCAAGGGATTTCAGAAGGGCTCCGTCAGCAGGCCAAACCTCTGCCCTGAGTGGCCCTTGGGTGGGGAACCCCTGATCTGGGTGCACAGAAGCCTACAAGTCTAGCCCAGGCACAACTTACTGATTAATTTGGGCTTGGAAATATAAAATGTTTAAAACAGGAGAAAAAAAGAACTAACATTCACTGTATGCCCTTATATGCCAGGCATGGTGCTAGGCTCTCACAGACAGACATGCACCCCACACCACTGAGCCTGGAAGGCACTGACAGCTGAGAGTGACAGGCATAAGGAATGCTCAGGGAACCCTGCAGGGAGTCCTCAGAAGCGGGGACCTTTGCTGAAGACGTGTTTATTTTATAACTAACAAACTCTTCTGAAATCTCTACACCTGACCCACTGAGCCCCAGAAAAGCAGCGTCACCTCTGGGCATGAGTATGTCCGCCA